CCATCTTATGATCTGATTCGGCGATGAACTCTGGCAGAATGCACACGGTGAGGGGTACTCGCGGCGCCGACAGCATAACGTCTATCGCGGAACCGGACTGGTGGGTTGCGGCTGGGGGATTCCTCAATTGGAGCCCTGCCAGCGCCACCCTGGCTTGGATTGCGCGGTCGGCAGAAGATTGTTTACAATGTCCGCAACGGCATGTGGAGGGATGTGCCAAGAAACCTGCCCAGTGCACATTGCCATCCCCGGCAAGCAACCACCAGCTGTCCGGGTCCCGCTCCTGGAGGGTGCTCTTTACCTGGATGACGTTGTCCCAAGTATCACGGTCCCCGCCTGGGGCGGCGTAGAAACCGCAAACGTAAACTACCTGGGAGCCGCTCTGCGCGCTCGGGCTGCGGATTCGTAGAGTGTGCCACCGCGCGCCACAACAGTCGTCAACGCTGCTAACAACACTGGCGAGCTCTTCGAGCACAAAGAAGCCGACGGATGCAAACTCGGAGGTTTGGCGACCTATCCAAAGAAACGGGAAACCACTGGGAAGACGCGCACCTGCTGGAAGCCGGGCCCCTGGAAGAATACAAATATGCACGCCTCGTTGCAATAACACCTCAGCTATGGCCCAAAGTCTCCAATACAAGATGTCGTCATTGCCGAGGGCGGCAAGCCCCACTTTGCCAGGGTTTAGGGTCGCCACCGCCAGTTCCGCGGTGTACGACGGCAAGGCTTCGGGGCCTTCAGCTGCTCCCGCCACCGCCACGCCTCCCGCGTATGGTGAGACCACCCGCGCAACCGAGGCGGAAACGCCGTGGCTCTTAAGCACATGTTTGCGCAGGAATCTCCCTAACTCAATGGTGAGAGCGGCAAGCGGAACAACTGTCCTCCCCCCGACTGGTTGGCAGCCCATTGGGTTGACCGGCTCCCTCTCCAGCAAGGCCGCCGCGTCCTTGGCGAGTGCAGCCCGTTCGTACCTCATGGGGCGGGCGGATTTCCAATCGTCGTGCAGCACCTGAAGCGGGCCCAGTGCGCTCACGTCCCCGGCGGGCGAGGGGCGGGCGGAAGGACGATGCCAGCGGGCGCTGTCATGCGTGCCCCCTGCCCGCCGCTCGCGAGCGGGCGAACGCGCGCGCGCCGTCTGACGCCCCACCCCAACGTTAACACCAGCCGTCCTGCAGCACCAGGGCGCGCCCCCCTCATCTGGCGCGCCATCGCGCCGACGCCTCCCCGCAACGCGGGCGGGCGCGCCGACCCTCCTCCTCCTCCTCCTCCTCCTCCTCCTCCTCCTCCTCCTCCTCCTCCTCCTCCTCCTCCTCCTCCTCCTCCTCGTCCTCCTCCTCCTCCTCCTCCTCCTCCTCCTCCTCCTCCTCCTCCTCCTCCTCCTCCTCCTCCTCCTCCTCCTCCTTCCGCAGTTGGCAGCGCGCATTCGCGCGCGGGCACGCCAGGCCCAGCCGGGCCGGGGCGGGGGCGCCGACCGCCTTGGAGGCCCATGGGCCCCCCGTTCCCAGACCCTACCACGCCCAGGTCGCATTGCGCAGGGGCCTCTATCCACCGCCCCCCCCCCCCCCCCCCGAGGCTGACAGCAGGGGCCTGGGGGCCACGCCGAAAAAGCAAGGCGGGGGTCAGCAACCGGCGACGAGGGGAGGGCGGCAGCAACACAGCAGCAGGGAGGGGAACGGGAGAGGCCGCAGAGCAGCACCGCAGCCAGCAAGCAGCAACCGCAGCGGGCAGCAGCACGCAAGGGCAAGCAGCAAGGGAGAGGGGGCCAGGGCCAAGGGGGGGAGAGCAACTACAGAAACCCCAAGGGCGGCGGGATGATCGATCAAAACATATGCACAAGCTCCTCCGCGCACCCGTGTCACAACTTTCCGCGCAGCCCCTCGGCGGGTACAGGGGGCGGGCAGAAGGGAACCGGGCGACAACGACGACGACGGCGACCACAAAAAGAATGACGACGACGACGACGACGACAGCGGCGGCGGCGGCGACAGCGGCGGCAAAGGCAAAGACGACGACGACCGCGACGACGACGACGACGACGACGACAGCGGCGACGCCGAAAACGTCAACGTAGACGGCAACGGCAACGACGACGACAATAAGAATGACGACGATAACGACACCGACGACACAAGCAGCGCGGTCCCACCCGACCGGCCAGGCAACAAACACCCCGCCACCACGGCAACGAGACGGCAACCAAGCGGAAGAGCAGGGCACCGCAACAGCGGCACGGCACCGTAGCACCACGGCAAAGGCAGCACAGCAGCGACACGGCATCGCAGCACCGAAGCCATGGGGGCAGCGGCAAGCAAACAGTAGGGGGGAGCACGGGAGCGGCACAGCAAGGGGACGTACGGGGAGACAGCAGGGCGGCGAACAGGCCAGCAGTAGGGGGCACAGCAAGAGCGGCAACCCCGCACCCCCCCAGGGCGGCGAAGACAGAGAGTCCAAAATCATGATAATACTGTTGCCAGAGCGTCACAAACCTGACCGAAAAAACAATCTCGGCAGCATGCCCTCCACAGTCGGCGCCGCCATTACCACCCACCGGGTATATACCACCGCGCTTCCTGCAGGCAGCTCCTTGCGCCAGACGTTCGTGCCGGAGCAGGTCACCAGCGGGAGGCCCAGAGTAGCTTCGCGACCCCCGCGCACGGGACAGGGCACGAGGGCGTGGACCAGGCCAGAAGTACTTCCAGACACGCCGGCCCCACGGGGCCCACTGCAAGCCCTGTGGAAACGGTGACCGCGCCAGGGCCAGGATGGCGTACGGCACGCCGCCCACTGCTGGCAAGACAGCCATCCGCTCCGGGAATAACGCCTCCTCCGCGCGCGTGGATGCGGGCATTTCGCCCTGTCAGCGCGGTCCACAACTGCTAGGTCCCGAGCCAAGTGCAGCTCTTGGCGAAGTCGTCGGCTCGGTCGCACCACGTCTCGCCTGTAACAGCCGACGCCCCTGGGCACACCACGCGAGTCACGTCTCCGCGCGGAGAAGAAAGACGCGGGCCCCAGCCGTGACTATCCGCTAGGCCTAGGTCGCCGCGGCGCGTGTGAGAAAGCGCAGCCCGGAGAAACAACGCACGTGGCCCGCGGCCCCCAGGGACACGCTGGGCCGCAGCCCCAACATGCTCTTGGCAGCCGAATACATAGCCTCGTTCAATCGCATTGGCACCGCAACCCATCCACTTGTATGGCACGCAAATAGCTAACCCCCTTGGAGCGCAGCCGGTAGCATGCGCTTCCCAAGCCGCGCGGTGAGCAGGGGGAGGCCCAGGCCGAAGTCAACTATCGACGTCACCAACTCCTGTGCCTGCGAAGCGATCATGGCACAGGTTCGGTCCAACAGCGGCTAGAAAGTAAGGTCCACTCCACCAGCGCCCAACACATTCATAGTTGCACGAACCTCCACTTCCACCCCACCCACTGCACTATAGCTGCCCGCTGGACCTGGGGGTACTCCGACCAGCAGGACCGCCGGACGTTTTTCCCCACCCTAAAACGCGTGGCGCCACCGTTCAGAGCATACATCGAGGCGGGCACACGCTGTGCGCATGCCCATGGCCGAGGACTGCAACAGGAGCGCGTCATACACGAACTGCGCCAGGCCAGCCCTGCGCGGCGACATGCTGTCCAGGAGCGCCGATTGTTCGCCCACCGCGACCAGGGAACGAAAAAGTTCAGGACAGCCTGGCCGGCGATCTCCCTCCGCAACCGCCACCTCCATCTGAATCCGCGGCCAAAACGTCCCGTCGGACTCATCGCCCGCCAAAGCGCCCGCCTCCTGCCACGCCAACACCGCCTGCGGCGGGGTGTCCACACCTGGGCCAGCCACGTGGCCCTGCAGCTCGAGCGCCACGGCGCGTATCGGCACACCGAAAAGGTGCACGCCAGGCCGGCGACCATGGCCGACCCCGAAGTCTGCGAGGCGGACCACCTCGCCGAGCAGGGGCCCCCAGCGGCCAAATCCTGCCCCTCACGCCGCTGTCCCACAGCAGGAGTTTGACGCGTCCCTCCACGCCAAGTCAAAACCATCCGCAATATCTCCCATGAGCAGGAAGGGAGGCCGGCAGCCCGCCGGGCCTGGATCGCTACCACGATGCCCATGGCGAGCAGTGAAGCATCCTACTTGCCAACAGCTTGCTCGCCGCGCGTGTACCTTCCCAACTGCGTGCGCGCCTCGTTCAACCACAGCGCGTCCAAGACCCCCGCCAGCTCGTCAACCAGGCTGAGCGGGCGGATGTTGCTCATGCTCGAGAGACCTGTGGCACCCGTTTGCGTGCCGGGGTGGCCTTCACGAACCCACCCGCTAGCAACCAGTCCAAACACCGCGGCAGGGTTGGTGGTCGCCCACGTAAGCAGCAAACCAGCCGGCGCCGCGCCGGCACAGCGAGGAAATCGCTGGCTAGCCTTGTCCACGTTGGTAGCGTCCACCAATTTGCTGCTGCTGCTGCTGCTCCTCCTCCTTCTCCTCCTCCTCCTCCTCCTCCTCCTCCTCCTCCTCCTCCTCATCATCATCATCATCATCATCATCATCATCATCATCAGCAGCAGCAGCAGCAGCAGCAGCATCATCTTCATCATCACAATCACCACCATCATCATCATCATCAGCAGCATCAGCATCAGCATCAGCATCAGCATCAGCATCAGCATCAGCAGCATCATCATCATAAGCATCAGCATCAGCATCATCAGCATCAGCATCATCATCATCACCACCATCACCACCATCATCACCATCATCAGCATCAGCATCAGCATCAGCATCACCATCAGCATCACCAGCATCAGCATCAGCATCAGCATCACCATCAGCATCAGCATCATCATCAGCAGCAGCGGCATCATAGTCCTCATCCTTATCCTCACGCTCACCCTCATGCTCATCCTCATCCGCCTCATCCTCCTCCTCCTCCACCACCACCTCCTCCTCCGCCTCCCACCCTTCCTGTGGCAGAACGCCGGAGCACTCAACTGCGTGGATTTCCCGGCCCCGGCACCGTGTCGCGCAGGCGGCAGGCACGGTGGAAGCCGCCGCACGCGCACACGCCGCCGCCGCCGAGGACGGATTCGCTGCTGTTCTCGTTCCCGACGGCGGGAATGAAGAGCACGTCTCCGGCCGCACCCGCCCTCAAGGAGGAAGGGGAGGCGGCGTGGTCGGACTGGGAGGCCGTGGTGGACGCGCTGCTCACCATCCTGTCGAACCCATTCTCCTTCGTCGCCTGAGGCAGGGGCTGCCAGCGTCAGGAGGCCATTCCTGGGAAGTGACCGCCCAGGAGTTGTCAGTTGTCTGCTAACGTTGCCAAGTCAGGCACCGAACGGCACGGGCAGAACAAGTCAAGCTGCGACACGGGGTTAAACTCCCGGTCCCAGTGTGCTCTAGCTCGGTCAAGGTCTCCGCATGAACGGTAAAAGGGCCACGAAGCTGAATGCTGAATGTAACCTCCCAGGAACTGCTCCCTGACCAACGAAGGGGGTTCCGAAGGTTGGCGGCGCCCAGACTGGGGTGCCGCCAGGGGGGTCGGGCTCCCGAGAAGGCAGGAGGGCTCCTCAGCAGCCCGCCCAGCTTCAAGAAGCCTTCTTGGAAGCCTCCAGCGCCTCCGAACACCTTCGTAGTAAGTCACCCCGCTCCACCTTCCCAGACCCCGACGTCCTGATTGTTTCATGACGCGGCCCCCAGAGGTTCGGACCCCGGCTTCTCATCCCGAGTCGTTTTTTGACGGTCCCGAGGGCCGGTGAGGGCCCAAGGGGGCGAAAATGGTGAAAAACTTCTCGTCGTGATTTTTTCACGACCCGAGGGCCCGAGGGTGTCTGGGTTCGCAGCAAGCCCATCCGCCTCCGCAGTGCGTCGCCCCCCTCGCGGCCGCACCCACCCTCGCGCACGCCGCCAAGCGCCCAGAGCGCAGCGCGCGGCACACGCGGACCGGGCGGGAGGGGAGAGCGGGGACCTCCTCCTCCTCCTCCTCCTCCTCCTCCTCCTCCTCCTCCTCCTCCTCCTCCTCTTCCTCCTCCTCCTCCCCCTCCTCCTCCTCCTCCTCCTCCTCCTCCTCCTCCTCCTCCTCCTCCTCCTCCTCCACCGAAGGTCCGCCCGCGCCGCCCCTCCGCCCCAAGCCGCGCCCCCCGCCCGAGCTGGCGCCTGGCGCACGCGCGGGGGCCTCGAGGCCCACCCCGTGGGCCGATGGCTCGTCTGGCCCCCCCGCGGCGAGCTCTCTGAGGGCTCCGAGGTTGAAGGGGCCCTGGGACACACGAGTAAATGCCCACAAATAAAAAGATTCCCCATATTTTCCCATATTTTCTGGGTTTCTGTCTTCCCCCCCACTTCCCATATGTTCTAATATTTTCCTGGGGAATCGACGATTCATTGTGTCTGTGTTTTGTTCCCTCCTGAGAGGTCACCGCCAGTCTGGCACCACACGGTTGTGGGACCCCCAGATTCCTCACAGGAGCAAGGGGCAATGACGAGTGATGCGTTCCAAGACTTCCAAAATGGATCGTCTGGGCCGATTGATCGTCTGGGCCGATTGATGACGCCAACCGCTGGCCCGCACCACCCCCGACCGGGCCAGGCCAGGTGCGGGCTCACGGTAGACTCCCGCCGAACCCCCTCGCAAGCAGCCCACCGACCGCCGGCGGGCATGCGTCTCCTCCTCCTCCTCGTCCTCCCTGGCCAAGTGCAGCAGAGAGGAGCCCCCCTCCCATCAGTGGGAAAGCGTGCGACTCTCACGCGGCCCTCGCTGTTCTTTGAAGTTCCCTGAAGCCCCTGGCCTTCGCCGGGGGGTCCGCGGCTAACTTCGTGGCCATGTCGCGCATGCGGCACGTCGCGTGGTACCCGCCGCAGCTGCAGGCCTGGGACTGGGACGCGGAGGGGGCCATGTCTGCCAGCGAAGCGGGCGGCCGCCTCTGAAGAGCAGCCCGGGGGACGCCTGCGGCTCTCGAACAAATGCGCTCAGCACAAACGGCTCGGGCCGAGACGGGCGGCGGGTTGGCCAGACGGACCCTTCTTGTCGGCGTGCCCCGCCCCTCGCCACGGCTGCCTGGACGATCCAACCGCGGATCGATGGAGCCGAACCCCGCGTGGAGGCAAGCCGCCCTTGGGGGTGCACGATCGAATCTGCCGATGCCGCGCACAGACATCGACACAGATCGTCGAGCCGATCGAAAACCGTGGGCAGTCTTCTTCGCCCTTCTTCCAGGCCTCCCTGATGGGGTCCGAGTAGATGGGTTCGGAGGATGGCGCCGCATCGCCAATGCATCAGCGATGCGGCTCGGTGCGGAGCCCGACATTCTACACGCCGACAGCGCCGATACATCTCTGAAGTATCGCCGATGCATCGCTGATGCATCAGCGATGCAGCGCTCGATCCTACATCTACTGAAGTGATCTGCCGATGCATCGCTGATGCATCAGCGCCATCTGCATCGCAGCTCCTCCTCCTCCTCCTCCTCCTCCTCCTCCTCCTCCTCCTCCCTCCTCCTCCTCCTCCCTCCTCCTCCTCCTCCTCCTCCTCCCTCCTCCCTCCTCTCCTCCTCCTCACTCCTCCTCCTCCTCCTCCTCCTCCTCCTCCTCCTCCCTCCTCCTCCTCCTCCTCCTCCTCCTCCTCCTCCTCCTCCTCCTCCTCCTCCTCCTCCTCCTCCTCCTCCTCCTCCTCCTCCTCCTCCCCCACCACCTCCCAACTCCCGACCTAGTCGCCATGCCCAGAACTCCAGAGCTCTCTCCTCCCCCCCCCCCCGCGTCACCATCTTCCCTGTCGCCTCCAGCCGTCACCCTCTTCCTGCCACCGCTGCTCCTACTGTTGCACCTCCTCCTGCTCCTCCTCCTCCTCTCCTCCTCTCCTCCTCCTCCTCCTCCTCCTCCTCCTCCTCCTCCTCCTCCTCCTCCTCCTCCTCCTCCTCCTCCTCCTCCCCTTCTCCCAAGCAACACCTCGTCCTTGTCACATCCCCAGACGTGTCAGTAGGGCGGGCTGGGCGTTTCGCTGAGAGACTTGCTCGCCACGTGGCTTGAAATTTGCAGCAGCTTCAAGGATGGAGCACGGTTGGTTTTCAAAGAGTAGCTCTCGCCTCAGCGCCGCGCGCGCTCGTCATAGGCATGTGCAGCAGCTTCAAGGATGGAGGCGGCTCCTTTTATAAATGTGGTTCTCGCCTTAGAGCCGCGCACAATCGTCGCAGAAGCTTGCAACAGCTTCACGGATGGAGGGCGGCTCCTTTTTTCCCAACCATCCTGTGGTGTTGGGTCCTCGTTTTGAAGAGACAGCGCCCCGCATCCCACCTTCCTTTCTCCTCCTCCCCCTCCTCCTCCCCCTCCTCCCTCCTCCCCCTCCTTGCCTCTGCTTTCGGAATACTTCTCACACGCTTCGCAGCCCCATAGGGAGCTCCACCGAAGGCCCCAGTGGCTGCTCTCGCCGCATGCGGTCCCCCCACCCAGGGCAGCGCCTCGTGGCCCCATAGGGAGCTCCACCGAAGGCCCCATTGGCTGCTCTCGCCGCATGCGGTTCCCCCACCCAGGGCAGCGCTTCGTGGCCCCATAGGGAGCTCCACCGAAGGCCCCAGTGGCTGCTCTCGCATGCGGTTCCCCCACCCAGGGCAGCGTTTCGTGGCCCCACATGGAGCTCCACCGAAGGCCCCTGTGGCTGCTCTCGCATGCGGTTCCCCCACCCAGGGCAGCGTTTCGTGGCTCCATAGGGAGCTCCACCGAAGGCCCCCGTGGCGCAGTTCGCATGCGGTTTCCCTACCCAGGGCAGCGTTTCGTGGCCCTATAGGGAGCTCCGCCGAAAGCCCCAGTGGCTGATCTCGCATGCGGTTCCCCCGCCCAGGGCAGCGCTTCGTGGCCCCATAGGGAGCTCCACCGAAGGCCTCAGTGGCTGCTCTCGCATGCGGTTCCCCCACCCACGGCAGCGCTTCGTGGCCCCATAGGGAGCTCCACCGAAGGCCCCAGTGGCTGTTCTCGCGTGCGGTTCCCCCACCCAGGGCAGCGCTTCGTGGCCCCATAAGGAGCTCCACCGAAGGCCCCAGTGGCTGCTCTCGCATGCGGTGCCCCCGCCCACGGTAACGCTTCGTGGAGCCATAGGGAGCTCCACCGAAGGCCCCAGTGGTTACTCTCGCATGCGCTTCCCCCACCCAGGGCAACGCTTCGTGGCCCCATAGGGAGCTCCACCGAAGGCCTCAGTGGCTTCTCTCGTATGCGGTTCCCCCCACGGCAGCGTTTCGTGGCCCTATAGGGAGCTCCACCGAAGGCCGCAGTGGCTGCTCTCGCATGCGGCTCCCCCGCCCAGGGCAGCGTTTCGTGGCCCCATAGGGAGCTCCACCGAAGGCCTCAATGGCTGCTCTCGCATGCGGTTCCCCCACCCAGGGCAGCGTTTCGTGGCCCATAGGGAGCTCCACCGAAGGCCCCAGCGGCTGCTCTCGCATGCGGTCCCCACACCCAGGACAGCGCTTCGTGGCCCCATAAGGAAGCTCCACCGAAGGCCTCAGTGGCTGCTCTCGCATGCGGTTTCCCGACCCAGGGCAGCGCTTCGTGGCCCCATAGGGAGCTCCTCCGAAGGCCCCAGTGGCGCAGTTCGCATGCGGTTCCCCACCCAGGGCAGCGCTTCGTGGCCCCATGGGAAGCTCCACCGAAAGCCCCAGTGGCGCAGTTCGCATGCTGTCTCCCCACCCAGGGCAGCGCTTCGTGGCCCCATAGGGAGCTCCACCGAAGGCCCCCGCGGCGCAATTCGCACGCGGTTCCCCCACCCCGGGCAGCGCTTCGTGGCCCCATAGGGAGCTCCACCGAGAGCCCCAGTGGCGCAGTTCGCATGTTTTTCCCATGCCCAGGGCAGCGTTTCGTGGCCTCATCAGGAGTTCCACCGAAGGCCCCTGTGGCTGCTCTCGCATGCAGTTCCCCCACCCAGGGCAGCGCTTCGTGGCCCATAGGGAGCCCCACCGAAAACGGCACCCACAACGCGTTACGAACAATTGCTTATGGTTGGGTCCTTCGCCAGGATAAGTTAAATGTGGTGCATGCCTCAGCGCCGAGTGCATTCGTCTAAAAACGTTGCCATCGATTCAAGGATGGAATGCTTCGCAGCTTTTACATGTGGTTCTCGCCCAAACGCCGCGCACATTCGTCAAAAGAGCTCGCAACAGTTTGTAAGGCGGCGCGTTTTCAAAATGTGGCTCTCCTCTCAGAGCCGCGCGCATTCGTCGCAAAAGTTTGCAACAGTTTCCAGAATGTGTACGGTTGATGTCTCAAGAATTGTGTTCTGGCGCGATTTATGACTATCAGGGCGCAGCGGCCACGTTCATTCGCAATGTTGAAGTCCAAAGAGCGGCGTTCTGGCACGGCTGAGCAGTGTGAGGACGCAGCTGTCACGCCGACTCGCAAAGTTGAAAACGCTAAAATTCAGCGTCGCCCCTCCGTGGCGTTGCGTTTCCGCGCGCACAATGGGCAGCCAGCTTCCGCGCAGCTGGCAGGGGCCATCCTGGGATACACCCAGACGCCCCAGCCAGCGAAACGCGACGCACAGGGAGGGCGGGCGGGAAAAACCACACCCAAGCGACGCGAATGCACGCCGCCGACAAGAATCCTCAGGACGACCACTGGACCGAGCGCACCTGCCCTAGGTCGCCCCTCTCTCCGAGCCCCGAGCGCCTCTCTGGCGATCGCCTCCGAGGAGCGCCGCCAGACGGACCTCGCAGCCACGAGCGTCGAGAGGACAGACAGACAAACAGACGGACAGACAGACAGAGAGACAGACGGACGGACGGACAGACGGACGGACAGACAGACGACAGGACGGACAGACAAACCGACCGACCGAACGGCCGACGCCCCCCCACAGCTGGGGCCACAGGGAAATCCCGCGTAGGGAGCGCTCGTTGCCGCGAGCTTGCTGCCAAGAGGAACAGAGGCCATGATGCCAAGAGGCATGGGGTCCGTGTGCTCCTCGAATTTCACTGCCCCCCAAATCGCTGCGCGATTTAGGGGCGACTAAAATTCAGCGTCGCCCCTCCGTGGCGTTGCGTTTAAGCGGCGGGCCTTCGGCCGACGTACCCAGCCGCACAAATGCCTGGGCGGGCGAAGCGGGCCCGTGCTCGCGAGAGCAAGTCCAAGTCACACCGTGAGCGTCGGATATTTCAGCCGACGTCACACGGGCTAAACCACGGCGCACCGTGGAAAGCAAACCGCAACATCCTGCTGGTGTCCCACATCCAGGGGGGGAATGCAGGGAGCGCCACAACATGTCACTGAGGTGAAACAACCCCGACGGGCGCCCAGATGTGGATGCCGATGAGAAGAAGGGGTTGGGGGCGCAGCCGATAGCCGCGGGTCAGGTGAATACGTGGGAACCGCCGAGGGCCAAACGCCCAGCATCAGCCATGGACGCACGCAGCGTAGTCGGGACCCCGTCATTGAGGGAACGTCACCAGGTCGCTGCTGTCGAAAGCGCTGGTAATGGAGCGAGAGGGGGGGGGGGGGGGGGGCCTTTGTCGTGTGACGGAAATATGGCGGCCGTTGCCACACGAGCAAGAGGCCACGCTGAACCGCGGGAGTCTAGACGCAGTGGGAATGGTGCACCTCGTTCCCAAGAGGTGGCACGAATGTATTAAGGCTGGGGCCTGCCACTGCGGTGAAACCAGCCCCTGCTGTATAGGGGCTGTCTGCGGAAGGGTATGTTGGGACAGTCCCTGCAGCGTCTGTACCCTCGAGACCTCTGCCCCTGTGGGCGGCAAAGGGAGAGGACCATCGGACTGCCGCCCCATTGGGCCCCACAAGGCAAGTCGGGGGACCAAATGGCCCACAGGGTTAGCGCAATGGAGACAACCTTGTATAAGGAGGTGGAGGTAGCCCCCAGCTGTCCGAGGTCGTTGTCGTCTAGAAAGCATGCGCGGCGCTCTGATACGGGTTGAGTGGCGACTCGTAGTACTGACATGACCAGGGGGAAAGGCCTTGAGCCGCAGAAGCTGCAGGACAAGGCGGGGAACCCT